TGTACCAGCTACTGAACTTGCATATATTGAAAGTGAGTTCCGAGGAGGCATTGAGTTGGGGAGCACCTATAATTAAGCATCAGCGACGATCATATGGCATAGAGAGTTATTAGAAGGAAGTAGATCAATGTACAAAATTGGATTGAGATCCAACCAAGTTGATCTCGTAATGCCTTGGCACTTCGTTCCTCCACAATTTCCAGTATGGGGCTATGACAAGAAGAGCAATGGGGTCATCAGGGTCCTGGTATTGTGCATGATACAGCTGACACAACTGATGTAGAGCTAGGTAAGGCCTTTTGGTCTCAAGCATACAAATTATAATATCTGCATGACCGTAAGTCTCAATGTCTTTTTCTGCAAGTGGGATGAGAATGGTGTTGGGGTACTGATGTGCAGGAAAAAATACCGGAGCGAATGATGATTTGGTACAGTTCATTGTGGACTTCCATTGGGCCAACAGCCAAAGTGTGCTCGACCGTGGAGATGTCATTGTCAGCATAGCACCAGTCCCGAGACCCTCTTGTGAGGCAGCGGACCACTGGGAAATATCGACTGGAAGGAAGCGAGGAGGGCTGGGCGTACAATCACTGGAAATGAGATGACGGAGGGAACAGAGGGAGCTGTTTACTGTTTGGCATTCATTGATCGGCATGTGCTGTGGCTTTGTTCAAGGATCGCAATCTGAGAGTGTGCAAAAAGGTCCTATAAACCCTTTAGTTCTCACTGAGATATGGATGTCGTCCATGTTCGCTTGATGTTGGTGAACGAGAATCAAGCAGAGACTGAAAAATGGAGACACACAGGTAGCAATAAATGCAAGAACCCCAAGCTGAAATCACTGCGACCGAGAAATTCGGGCACGTGCAGGCAGGAATAGGTGCAGGAGCGAAATGCCCGCAACATCAAAATTCACAACCCGCAGGCAGGAATACAAGCGAGGGCCACAAGCAGATATGCCTGCGACTTCGAAAGGACATGTGGGCAGCAATAGACGTGAAGGTTGCATGCAGAAATTCCCCCGAGCTCAGAAATGGATGCAGGCAGGGAGGAATAACCGCACTGGCAGAAATGAAGCTTGAAGGTGTGCGGGCCCATGAGAAAGTCACACAGGGAAAGGTAACATGCAGGGAGGAATAAACATGTTGACAAGGTGCAGGGAGGAATAAACACGTGACCCGCAGGTGGAAATACCCACGAGCTCAAAACGCAGCTGCGCAGGACGCGAGAGGCACAGGTAGAAATGGCCGCAAGCTCAGAATCAAGACGCGCAGGGAGGAATAGACACATCCGCTACAGGCAGGAATCACCGCAATGTGAAAATCAGGATGTGTAGGCAGGAATATGTGCGAGTGCTGCAGGCAGGAATTCCAGGGAGATGAATAGACATGTCTGCTGCGGGCAGGGATCACCGTGATGTGGAAATCAGGACACAAAGACAGGAATAGACGCGAGAGGGGAGCTGCAGGTAGAAATGGCTGTGAGGTCGAAATCCAGATGTGCAGGGAGGAATAGACATGTGAGGCGTAGGTAGAAATGCTCGCAGGCTCAAAACGGAGGGGCGCAGGAAGTGTCATGATTCGGCTTTTCGGATCCTGAAGCCGGATCAAACCACGATCACGGGAGCCCGTTAACCTGTGATCGCATCCCTATATATTTCATTTTAACTCCTTTCTGGTTTCAACTAAACCCCTTTACATTGCACATAGGGTATATTACAATCAGACTCCTAGATACAGTAGTATATAAACCCCAGGTAGAATCCCCTGTACTTTAGATTCTACCTCGTCTATTCACCGGCCTTGCTTTGGCCTGTTCTTGACCTGTGTTTAGCCTAAGTTTGCTCTGCTTTCACTATCTCGTTGACTTGGGTTTCCCTCTCCACTTCGTTCCACCGGCAAACCCTTGTCCCCTATTTTGACTCCTGTCTTGGACCTATCTCGAATTTTGTCGACGGAGTCTGGTGGTGGGCTGTAGGCTTGTGAAGGACTAGGCTGCAGGATAACATTGGTATCAAGACTCTCAGTGGCATGAACACGGAGTCTTGATTGCGTTCAGGGTCAGAGAGAGACAGCCACCACTGCCACAACCATTCCTACGTTGATACAGCAGGTATTGTACCAGCCATGGAATCACACATTTTTGTGGCTTCTACAGGAGTTCGAGAACACATACAAACTTCGAGAACCTCCTGTTTGGTGATATACAGTTAGAGTCAGAGTAAGCTCCGAACTGCTGGCTGTGTATCAATGATGTGAGAGGGAAATAACTGGTACTGTGGAGTTGTATATGCTTGGTTCTTACCAAAGGGGAATCGGCATAATGATCTAGAAGTATTACATGTGGCCCATCAGATCCAGTTCATAACCTATACATAGGGGCAAGCTGTACTGCAAAGCTAGATATCATACCAAGGAGATATAACTATAAAACACCTTGACACCCAATTGCGAGCGGTATTACACTAGGTGGCTGGGCAGAACCCAGTTCGAGAACTATACATAGGTCTGTTTTCGCAGAGGCCTATGGACCCATGAGCATTTGAGAATTCTAAACCAGTTTGAGAATCAGCTGAAACCGATCGAGAAGCGTGACACAGACCTGTCCGAGACGCTCTAGACTCCAGTAGACCACATGTGATCAGTCGCATCGCGTTCGAGACACCAAACAAGTCCAAGTCTGATGGTCTTGATGGCCGATGAACCCCGGGAGCTCAAACTCTAGACACGTAGGCTTCAGCTGAGATTCCACTCTTATGAGAGGAGATAAGACACACAAAAGGGACTTACCAACCAAGCCGGTCCAAGCCGAGGGTTCGAGAACACTCTGGGCTATTCAAATATACCGGATCGGGTTCGAGGACCAGTTCTCGAAACCGATTGCACTCCAAAAGCAGGTTGACTAGGCATCCATCCATGTGGACCCGCCAATCTTGCACATGGCCAAGCCAAATATACCCAATATTTTCCGTTGCAGATCACATTTTACTCATTTCCTCTTATTTCTATTTATTCATATCTGTCATGTCATGTAGTTCAAGAAGTATTATAAAAGACCATCGAGAATGCACAGGTCTGCAGCTCATTTGTGCCCGGCTTTGCCTAGACTATTGTCGAAGCTCTGCAAGTCGATAGGCCTTGTGTTCTCAGTATCCTATCGCGGAGATTTGTTTATAAAGCATTTCTTTTATGTAGATTCTTTAACAGAGAAAGTTCTTGTTGGCTACATTAGCTTTAAGGTCATCTAAGCTACAGACTACTATTCAGTGAAGTCCCATTGCAGTTTTCCGGTTATACCACTGTTTTTCAGTGAAGTCCTGTTGCAATAGTCCCTTATCCCATAGCTATCTCGTGGAGGGTCACGGTAGTTCAACCACATCGATCGAGTAGGCCTCATTGAGAACCCGAAAGGATCTCTGATAAGCACCAGAGTCGGTCAGGGAGTTGCGCATAGGCGTAAATGTGGCCTGTTGTCTGTAACGTCCCCTTTGGACGATCACAATGAACAATCTGAGTTGTCCCACATACTGGTTGCTCGAGAGCTTCTGCAAACTCTATAACCCCGTTTTCCTCGTGTTCAAGAACAATTTATGTTTGGTAGTTGGAAACTACTGTTGGTCTCTCGAAGTCCAAGAAGACATCCTCAAACGATCTTGACAACTTTCTTGAGAAAGTTCAATCTTACCTGTATACTGCAGGGTGATCCGAACTCAATCATAAGCACTTCGTATTGGTTGTGTGTGTGTGTGTGTTGTGTTTTGGTTGTTGGTTTTTGGTGTTCACGCCTTAGATCTCAGTCGTTGCACATTTCAGCCCATACTTAGGTGCACCGTTTCAATGTCTCTCGGCATTAAAGTGTAGACTCCAAAGGAGCCCCTGTTGGATATCTCTGGATCTTCCCTCCTGTTCGCCGGTCTATAATCAACCTGTGTGTGTCATCTCATAATCCCGCTGGTAATCCCGTCGGGATATGCCCCACATCGGTTCGATTATCCCGGGCCCATCAGGACTACTTCAACCACAGTCTATACTCTGATTGAACTACTCCTGGGAGCAGTCCTCAGTCGTCGGCTGTTCGTATGTTCACCATGAACGGTCAGTTCCTCTCAACACCTGGGCCAGGCCTTGTGGTTCTGTTGTGCTTGGTCGCAGACAGGTTGACCCAAGGGCCGTCGTTGACAGGAAGGAATAAATGTGGGAGGCACAGGCAGGAATTGGCACAAGCCCAAAATCCAGATGCACAGGGAGGAATAACCGCAGGAGCGGTGGGTGGAAATGCCCGCAAGCTCAAAACGCAGCAGAGAGGGATAGACACGAGAGCCACAGGCAAAAATGGCTGTGAGGTCGAAAACCAGACATGCAGGGAGGAATAAACATGTGGGGCACAGGTAGGAATGCCCGTGGGCTCAAAACGGAGGTGCGCAGGGAGGAATAAACGCGAGAGGCACAAGCAGGAATTGCTGCGAGCCCAAAATCCAGACATGCATGGAGGAATAGATGCGTGGGCCGCAGACAGAAATTGCTGCGGGCCCAACATCTAGACACGCAGGCAGGAATACATGTGAGCCCTGCAGGCAGGAATGGCTGCGAGCTCAGAATCGAGATGTGCAGGGAGGAATAGATGCGTGGGCTGCATGCAGGAATCACCGTGATGTGGAAATTGGGACGTGCATGGAGGAATGGACACATGGGCTGCAGGATGGTTGCGAGCCTACCATACACACAGGAAGGGATAGACACGGGAGCCGCAGGTAGAAATGGCCATGAGCACAGAATCAAGACATGCAGGGAGGAATAGATGCTTCCACCGTGGGAAGGAATCACCGCAACATGAAATCAGGACGTGCATGTAGGAGTACGTATGAGCAGGAGACGTGCAGGCAGGAATAGACACGAGTCCTGCATGTAGGATTATCCGCGACGAGCCGTGCAAGCAGGAATAAATGCGAGCAGCCAAAGGCGAGAAGCAGAAAAGGAAAACAATGGGCACATCAGAGATGATGGCTTGGTCCCGAATCGAACGGGATACCTCTGGGTAACTGAATGTTGTCGCCAGAGACACCCAGTGCGCTAATCGTTGTGCCACCAAACCGATAGGGGGCCTGTATACTATGTTCCACCACGGGCAGATCTGCCTGCAGACAATGAGGTAGGACAGATTACATAGATATTAGGCCTAGCACCGGAAGACCCTTTGATTTCGACGGGTGGGACCATCAACCAAGGCAGATGCGGACCCCGGTTCGGATGTCACTACATCCGCAGGTTATCTGCAATTCAAGGTATTGTTTTGTCGCCGTTGCCAATCAGCCTGCCATCATTGACATCACGGTATTGAATCTAGTAATTGAAACAATGTGATGTCTTCATCAGTTTTTGTCTGGTTCCCTTCAGATGTGGCACAAATTAAACCGACATGCATGGGATTTCATATGGTCAAATAAAAATACCGAAAACCATCGAGAGAAGAATAAGATACGGTACCGATTCCATCACACCAGGTGATGTTGACTGATTTACCTTGAAAATCTGCCATAACTGCTCCCCTGCAGCTATTAACCGTCTAATATCTTATGGGAGTGTCAAGTACCGGGACAGACTCGGGAACCGATGGAGGTCCGAGATATCCGAGCGCGGGAATATGCAAGGACATCGGTGGTCCGCAGGAGGTCCGAAATCCTATCGCACAAAGTGTAATACGAATAGGGTGGAATAGGACTTTCACAAAGTGAAGCTTCATGAAATGTAGTCCCATCCGATCGGAGCTCCGGCTTGGTGCCCGAGGGGGGTCAGAGCGGGCTTGGCTTCAGCTCGTGCGCTGCGCCTTTCTCTATGCCCAAGGCCCGATTTCCGAGGAAGAAGACAGAGAGGTTAAGAACGAAGACTGAGTCACAATCCTAGTCAGGACCGGATGGTGCCGACGAGTCCTATTGGTAAGGACCAAGATTGAACCGTAAACCTGGTCGGGACCGATCGGTGCCGGTGCGTCCTGTCAGTAAGGACAAAGACAATCACAATCCTGGTCGGGACCGAATGGTGCCGATGAGTGTTGTCGGTACACAGAAATGTGAGCGGATTGTGAATGCTACACAAAGTAGGGTTTTGCGTGAACAATGCAAAGTCCTAAATGTGACCGAGGGGATCCGAGGAGCAGCCGGATCACCGTCGGGACCGATCGGAGTTGAGGAGTCCTGTCAAGGCAGGGGGAATGTAAGCGGCGAATGAACACTACACAAAATAGGACTTCGCGTGGATAATGCAAAGTCCTAAACGTGACTGTGCAGGTCCAAGAAAAAGCCGGATTGCCGTCGGGGCCGAACGGAGCCGATGGGATCTTCAACCCGTGTCCAAGTTCGGAAAAGGACGGAGACCGATGAAGGGAGAGTAATCGGAGAAAAGACGGAACTGAGGAAAGGACGATAGGAAGGAAGAAAGTCTTAGTCGATATTCAAACTGACTAGAACGAAGATACATGAAGCTATTTAAACTGTAGTGTAGTTTATTACGTAATGGTCGGAGCCCTCGGGGCTCCGTGAAGGAAACGAGTCAAAGCTGTACGAGTGCTGTATGATATGAGTCAAAGCTGTGGTGGAGATTCCGGAGGACCGAAGATTCCGAGGGGAGTGGAGTCATAACAAATCAGAGTAAATAATGATGGAGCCAGAAAAGTCATAGCAGTGTCGGAGAATTCGGAGGTCCGAGGCCCCCGTGATGGAATGAGTCAGGATAGGCATAACGGGGAATGAACATGGGGAAACAATGAGAGCCAACGAGATCACCATAGTCGGCAGGCTGAATTCCAACGGGGTCCGAGGGAGCCCGGGTATGCTTGGAGGCCGACGGAGCCCGAAGGAGCCCGAAGGATGGAATGCAGCGAGCAGGAGAACCGAAGTGGATAAGGTGCCAGCAGATAAATGGGAAACGCTCAGTAGACCTTCATGGCGTAAAAACCCGTTGAACTCGAAAGAGTCCAGGACTAAAAGATTGCTGATGTTGAGCTCATCGGGGCTCTGATGAGGTCTGATGTCACGGTACGTGACAGGGAGCATTCAAAATGCCTTCAAATAGCCTCCGAGGAAACAATAATGGAGGCAATTGACCGCCAACTGGCAGAATTACAATTTCTAGCCTACCTGGCGGAGTTTGAATTGACCTGATTTACATGCTTTGCCTGCTCTTGTAGGTGTTCCCCATCCATTCTGGACCCTGTGAAAGCCCATTGAAATTTTTTATCCCGAAAAATTTAGCTCACAAATGCCACTGTGACTGTGTGCCCAAATGCAATAGAAATGAAAATGCCACAGAACTGAAGTCAGCACATCTCCTTACATGCAAGTCTGGCCCAGCCGTGGGAAATGAGATATATATACTTCACGGGCGCATCCCAAGGGGCCCGCATATGCACTATAATGGAATACTGAATTGAATTGAAGGGAATGCATCTCTAGATCTGGATTTATGTGTGGCACTCAGATTTTATAGATAATGGGGATGGCAAAGTGGCTTAATGCTTTTCCGAAGGCACGGTCACCCATTGCCACTTCTAACATCGAAATTTGAGAATTGGTCCATTTTCTCAGTCATTATTGAGGTGCTCACACCACACCGACTCATTGAAATCAATGAACACCCATAGATATTTTCATAATTTCTCCAGTAAAAGTAAGTTTTAAAAAGACCCAAAAATTCTGGGTATCATCTTTTATACCTGACGCAACAGAGTTATGATTCGCTGCTGCTCAACAGAATCTTTTTGGCTGACATGCCTGAACAGGCAGAACGGGAAATTGTATGGATCAGCTATTCAATACAGAGATGCTCATTGCCTAATCCCATTGAAGCGGAGTCAGTAGATACTGGAAACTATCATATTTTGGTATTCATTTCCTAGGAACAAGATTTGTACCCCTTGCCGGAAGAGTTATGAACCCAGCAATGGTGTGGGTATGCAGACAACCAATGGTTTGAACCCATCTCAACCCCAAAAAATGCTCGCATACTTACCAAGCAATCTTGGAAAGTGTCTCTTGCTGATTTTTTTATTTCATTGATTTATTGAGGTGTATGGTACCAAGTAAACATTCATTTACTGCTGCAGACGAAAGTTTGATTGGAGACCATGTTTCTTCTCAACACTGATGAGACAGCTTTGCTTGACACTGCTCCGACACAGCCCGAGAGAAAATATCTCAATAGTGGCGGTCCGGTTATGTGGCCGAGTTGATTGAGCTTGCTTGCCGTGCAGTGTAGAGCGGGGGGAATTTTGCATAGTGGAAAAGCTGTCAACAATGCACAATAAGGAGGGAAAAAGATGTAATAAAGACACACCAACCAAGCATTAATCCGAATAAATGGACAGGGAAGCCAAGGAAAATGCTTCAGGAGATAAATACGTACAAATGACGCGTCCAGACACAAAGGACAAGCGTACAAAAGTGACATGTACACGAATGACCGAACCATGGCTCGCGCGGAAAATTAAACCGATCACGTGATTCCGGCAGCTACCGCAGCAGCATCAAACGCGTTCCAGACGCGTCCGTTGCATAGTTCCGGATTTCAAACGCATCAACAAATAGCAGGGTGACGTTAGGAAGTGTTTGGGTGCTATGGTAGCTCCCGAAACTAGGGAAATGGGCATGGAAACTGGGAAATGAAGAGTTTCAGTGCAACTATCGGGAAGAGAAAGGTGTTTGGGGCTGTGGAATGGATGAAACTTGACGACGAAACAAGTTTTGAGTTTATGTATTCATGTATGATGTGTTATTTGGTAAAAAGACAAACATTAGGGGTATATAAGGGCCGCGAAACGTACTAGACAGAATAATACACCCCTGCCCAAGTTTTACTTGTGATCACACTTTTCTGATTTGCTCGCTCACTCACTTATCGGATTTGAAGGAAGTTACATTGGGATTACGGACTAGGATGAGACTTTACGGATTAGGAACAGAATTACGGATTTTGGGCTCAGAGTTGGATTTGTTGTCTGGATTTTGGACTTGTTCATTTGCTTGCTTTGACTCTCGAATTTTATACTTTCTACCCCATTCCAACTTCGCACTCGTGGTTTCCTGCCACGCAAACCCCCGAACAACACCGAATATCAAGCCTTGTGTTTGTGTTGGTTAAAACCTTTGGATAAAGGTTTTTCATCAGCGCGCACATTCCTTACCTTTCAGCAGCATCATAGGCTTGCTAACAATGGCCTCTCGCAAATACAATGTGTCGATGACTGAGTTCACCACTTCGACACTCGACAAGCTTTGCTTGCGGTGAAGGTAGTCTTCTTGTTGCCTGGTCTCTCGAATTTTCAGGGCTAGCAGGCATTTAGCCTTGCAAGGAGTACCTAGTGCCAGTTTCAAGGTCCGCAAATAGGGGTTCAGCGACGACCACTTGGGAGTACCGATGCCAATTTATCGGTGAGTGGGAAATGCATATGGTGACAAGCATGATTCAGGATTAGGGAATGGCGGCATGGAAGTAGCCTGGAACCCTCGTACACTCGTAAAGCAGATCCAGCCTTTGATGTCGTCAAATAGGGGTTGCACAACGACGACGACACTTGGGAGCCCCAATGCCGTTCCAGTGGACAAGAGGGCGCTGTGGATGTTGCCCAACAGGATTCAAGGCCAAGGGAAAATGCATGGGATGCATGGCTTTAGATTCCTGGGCAGAGCGAGAACGGCATGGTGGTCAGGTTGGTAACTGAGTGTATCCAGCGCAAAAAAAAAGAAGCACCGTAATCTACCTGGGCCCCGGCGTCATGGGTGAGCGGATCCAAGATGACACCTGTGAAGAATGTTACAGTAAGAGCGGCAGAAGAGAATGATGAATAAGAATTACCATGGTTTGCGCACTGGTTTATGCCTTCTACACTACCTGTGTGTGCGGTGAAGTCGAAACCTGCCACAGTTGCAAAGTTTGGGCAAGTTTCCGAACATGTCGTTGAGTTATCCCAGAGCGGATTTGCGTTGAAACCTATGAAAGAAATTGAAACAAAGCCCGAGTGTTCGACCCGAACATTGAAATACCTGAGTATGAGCTCTCGATACCATCCGAGAACGGGTTTACATCGAAGTTTCCTAAAAG